ACATATTTATTATGATTGTATTTATATTTTATTTAAAAAAATAATATATATATATATATATATATATATATATATTAAATAAGAGTAATTAATTTTATGTATTAAAAAAGTTTGTTTGGGTCTACGTGACATTGCAATAACAATTGCAAAATTTGCAAGTGTCAGACAAAACTATGGTGAGGTGGCCATTTGCAATTCCTTTTGAAAGGGTTTTGCAAGCCCTATGTGGATGGTCTAAGTTTTATTAACAAGTACAAATCCATATGATACGATAAGTTTTCATAAAATAAAAGGAAAATATGAATGTCAAAGTATTTAAAAGTAAAATGTGTAGTATTTTATGATGGTTTATTTATATTGCAAATATCTAATATTTATTAATATCATTTATATTTTTTGAGACATTCATTTATTGTTATTGTAAAAACAATTCCAATAAAAAAATTATATGATCTTATTCGTCAATCATTCTTTGATGGTGAATCTTTTTTGGTAACTTATACATATAGTTAAAAAAGATACAAACATAAAATCAACAAAAATTATATGAAATTTTACACATTATATATATATATATATATATATATATATATAAAATAAACATTATGGGTTGGGTTCAGGTAAGAATGAAAGTTATGATGAGAAATGTAAGAAGATATCTCCACTTTTGGATCAATCTTAATTGAATGTCAACACTAATGAGGAGTATCAAAATGCATCGAATCTATTCCCTTCTAAAACGAAATTCATATGTGGATATGAGATTGAAAATGATCAAGTGTTCATATTTTTTCTTACACGATCATTCGCCGATAATAAGTGAAGTTTTATCGCAGTTATGTATATTAGGGGCGGATATGGTTGAGTTGAGCTAGACTAAGCCAATTTTAACCATTTTAATTGATGGTCTAGCGATTTGGGGGGTCGACGGATTGGATTTAACTGGATTGTTAGAGGGTTGGTTAGATAGGTTGAACATTTGACGGGTTCTCTACATCCTTACTTATAATAACCTTCATTGAATATGTTCGATGGTATAACAATGTGGATGTTCCGTGCATCTGTTTAATCAATTTTTGTGTAATAATCGAGTTTATCGGTTATAAAGTTCGGGATTGTTTTGAAAAGTGGTGGAAAGTTGAGGGACATATTTGGTTTATGTAATTAAATGTCATTAAAACATTTCACCTCTCATTTGTTTAATATGGTTATATGACAAAGATATTTTAAATTGTCTCATGAGGGTTTGATAAAAAGTTGGTAGGTCTTCAAGTAAAAAGAAAAGAAGCTTTCTGTGTGTGCACTTTCAGCTCGAGAAAACAGAACCGAGAAGAGGAAGCAAGTAAAAAACAGTTTTCTATGATTTTGTTTTGGATTGATTCTTGTTGTTCATCTCCATGTCTTCATCTCTTGTGTTTATAAAGTGAATTCATTTTATAACTTTTATCTTATTTGGTTGAAATTGGAACCGTGGGGTTCCTTACATTGGGATGATATAAAACTGTTTTGATGTTATGATTAACATAATTGTGGTATTTTGATATGTTTATATCAAGTAAATAGAATAAGAGTGACATATAAAAAAAAAGTGTATTTTGGTTACAAATGAGGCATATCAAGGAGAGGTGTATTTTGGTTATAAGGATGACATATCAAGGAGAGGTATATACCAGGATAAAAGTTACATAATCAATTAAATGTAAAATCTGGGTTTTTGATCAAATTGATAACTGTTGTCTCATCCTTATGATGTGATGACTTTAAGTTGTTGCATCTGTGTGATGCGATGACTTAAGTTATTGCATCATATTGATGCGATAAATGGTTTTGTCGCATCCTTGTGATGCAAGGAGTGAGTTTGTTGCATCCTTGTGATGCGACAAGATGAACGTATTGCATCCAGTTGATGCGACAAGTTGGGTTTATCGCACCCATATGATGCGTTGAGATGGGGTCCTCGTACCAGTGTGTTATGAGAAAGTGGGGTTGTCTCACCATGTGATGCGATGAATTTATCATGTTACCAATATGATGCGATTAGTTTTATCATAATGCGATAAATGAGTTATTTGACTATTTGATGCGATAATTGGATGATGTCTCAACATTTTGATGCGATAAAAGAGGTTTGTTTTGTTAAAATGTTTGACAGTGTATATGCATATATATCTTTTCCGTATATGTTTCTTTGGATATGTTTTAGTAGTTGCTTGATTTTAGAAGATCTAGCTTCAATATAGGATGTTTCTTGGGACCAAAGTCTCCTCTATGAACTTCTCCTAAACTTTTTATATTTTTACAGATCCATCTTAAAGATGCACCTATCATGTAAAAAATTATGGGTCGAACTCAAATAATTAAAGCTAATAAAATTTTCATGCCCAATCTAAATAATAGCTTAAACTGAGTCAATTTTTTGAAGCTTGACAAGCAATAAGCCATGTTGAAGTGAAAACTACGATTTTCATCTTTGTAGTTTGTTGTTTACAAAATTACAATTATTTTTGTCATCGGTCTTTAAATTTTATTTTTTTCATTCCTTGGTTTCCATGTTGTTTTGCTTTTCATCCCTAAGACTAATTATGTTAAATTTCAAATATTAATTTAAAGGCATTTTAATCTTTTCAATTTTAATTAATTCTTGATCAAAACATAATATTATTATATTATATTTCTTATATACTATACATATGTACTCTCAAGGTTGGGTTCCACGGAGAAGAGAAATTACAGAGAGAAGCGTAAGAAGAAATCTTCATTCTTAGATCAATCTTAATTGAATGTCAACACTAACGAGGTGCACCGAGATGCATCATATCAGTTTTTTTTAAACACAATTCATGAATGGACATATGATTAAAAGTGATCAAATGATTCAAATCTCTTTACGCTTCTCGGCGTAACTTCTTCTAACATAATCTTTTGCCTGTACCATCAACCAAACAACTTCATCCTAACTGGACAATGCATCCCCTTGGCACTGAACTTCTCCTTTCCATCTCCAATAAACACCACCACCACATACAACCGTTGTGTCCCACTGGTTTCCTCCCATCGATCTCCTTACCCACACTTTCTTATCTCTCATCTTCGCTCTCAACATGTATTCCCCCCCCCCCAACAACACTCGGATCCCAAACCACACCACTCCAATCTCGATCTTCAAACTCATCTCAATTTTGTTCTTGGTTTTCACTATCGATGTTTGGCCTTTCTATTCGATCTTGTTTTTGGTTTCACACAGTGAAAATCACAAAGAGATGTTCCTGGATTTTTGTATGCAGACATGGTGAGGATGCTTATTTCTTGAATTGTGTTTTTAAGAAGTTGAAATGTCTAATTTTTAGATTGAATGTTCCTTAATTTCTAGGTTAAATGTTCTTATTTTTGTAGCTTGTTTGATTGAAATTAATGGTTCACCGGAGAAGATAAAAAAGTTTGGCCGAAGAAACTGAGCGATTATATTCCATAACAAACCCAAAAGCCATAAAGTTGATATTTGGAACAGTAGAGAAACTGTAACACGGGGAAGGACAAGGAAAAAGAGTTGATGGTGATCGAGAAAGAAAAAAAATAACGAATTAATGGTGATTGGTTAGCTCATTAACCGACTACTAGATTATCAATAATATTTGGACAAACCAATTGACAAATTGGTTGTTGACCAACAAGCTATTGACTGATATAAACTAGTCATATTTAATAAAATTTAATTAATAAATTAGATAACAATATAAAATAACTTAAAAAAAACATGTTAATAAATAATTTTTCTGTTATATCATTGTCAAATCAACAAACTAAAAACTACGAGAAGTGAATTCTTTTTCAAAATACATATACATCCCCACTTCAATTGTAGGAGAAGTGAAGGACCAATAGTGCAAACAGTGAATAGTGAGGGGTAAATATGAAAATACAGTAAAGGCTTGTTTGGCAGAGGTAACCGTCCCAACAGGTCTGACTAGTCTCTTCTTTCATAACCAGAAAATCACATTTTCTAGAGAGTGAGAGAGAGAATCCCGAGGATGAAGAGAGAGAGAGACAGATAGGTGATAGAGACCGGAACTTTATATGCATACATTAACACAAGATCCCGTCTGTTTCACGCATACGCACCAGCTGCGCAAATTAGTCACCACCACTACAATTATCTCTTCCTGTTTTATAGCCATATCTCCCTCCTCTTTTCTCTCTCTCGCTCTCTCTCTGGATATGCATATACATGGATAGAGAGAGTGGGCAAACTGGGTTGCATTTATTTTGATCTTTTTTGGATCACTCAACAGACACACCACACCGCCATCAATCTCATGTCTCCATCTCTGTTCTTGCTAATGTGCTCAGGATGCCCATGGTACCCTCTTTTCTCTTCTCTTCTTGTTAGAATTTGCAAGTTTTATTCTTATGATTTCGTACCGTCATGTGTGTATATGCGAATTTCTTCAAACAGGTTGTGTGAAAAGAGTGATTTTCTTAACCCATTCCGATGTAAAGAAATCGTGGGAAATTGAATCAGGAACAAGAAAAAAAGACGCGATTTTGGATATATCAAGAAACGAGATCTTAAACCATGAAAATATCCAGAAACAAAAATAGTGTTTTCGAGCAGATATTTGTGTACAAAACATGGTATATATTGTGTGATTAGTAATTTGATAACACTTTCCATAAGTTGTACTCATAGCTTTAGGACTTGTACATTGATGATTTGACAATTTCCATATTCTTTTCCTTTGAACATTCTCTTGTATCCACCTGGTAACAGTTGGTTTAGTTGAAACTTCCTCAAGAACACACACACACACACATATATATATATATATGTGTGTATGTATATATATTCTGTGCTTCTGGATATCTCTACTTGTATTATCAGCTTAAATACTTGTACTCTGAACCTTTTATGCCATTCAGCAGGAAGGAATTCATAATTACAGTATGGAATTCACAGGTCCAGTTCCTGCCTTGACATAATATCTTTATTCTGAGGAAGCCCACATTTTTACAATAAGAAAGTGATAAGTTTCTTGATTTCAATGGAAGGTTTTCTTGATATGAATTCTTTCCAAAAGTACCCTCTTGAAGAATCCTTAAAACAGGTCATAATCGATCACGACACCATATTCAAGAAACAAGTATGTTTAGTCACTCAGAATTGATCAAGTTTTGTTTTATTGAAAATTTATCAAGAAATTGTTTGCTTTTTCTGGGAATCTTGTTTCGAGTGGCGATTGATTGTTTTTGGGAAGGTGCAGGAGCTCCACCGGCTGTATGCAGTACAGAAGTCGATGATGAAGCGCTATTCAAAGTATACATTTCCAGAAAGACATTTGGTAAATGATCCTAATTTCCCTTCTTATACAACCTTAATAGGAATTAGATTTTAGTCATTAGTTGAAATGAGAAATGAATAGTATGGTTATGGGCCCCATATACTTGATGGAAATTTGATATGGGACCCACAATCGTGACCTAGGTTTTTCCCTCGGCTGCAACAAAATCGGCTTTAATGGACTTCAAAGCTTTCTAATCGTCATAAAAGATTGATTTATATTACTTCAATTTATATGACCAACAATTGTGCATTCTATATAAAGATGTTACAGTATGATGTTAGGATGTACTTGGACATCCTGACAAGTTCATAAGTGTCTTATGAATACATTTTTTTTATAGGACATTGGTTTTATACACATATTTTCAAATAATATCGTATAAGAGAACTAACATGACGCCTTTATTTCAGAATTGTCACAAAAAACTTGTTAGGATGCTGAAAAGCATCTTATCTATTTATTGTAACACCTTTATATAGAACGCACCATTATTTGGTCGTATAAACCTAAGTCCTATAAAGCAGTCGATTTTGTTGTAATGATCACTACCCAGTTGAGGTTTAGTAGTATGTTCTTCCCTCGGGACCTATATGATTCTTGAGATGGAACCTACAATCCTAGATTTCTTAGGGTGTACATTTCTTGTTATCTGATGTTAGTCATATGTTCTTCAGATGGGCTCCACACAATTCGTGTTAGATGATTCCTTCTTACTAGAAGATCAAGATTTCTTTTCTAGACTTCAGCAGAAACCTCTTGATCTTCGACTTTCAACTGGTAGCTCTAGCGAGGATGACATCTTAGATGGTGTGGAAGTAAATCTTTCTTTGAGCATCGGGAGGAGTACCAATAAAAGAAGCAGAATTTCCGGAAACAATTGGAAGAACAAGATTGTATACCCGTTGTTACTAGATGTAATTGATCTAGAGGAATCTAATGAAACAGGATCAAACGAGGAGGCCCAGCCTGTTTTTTCTCTAGATCAATCCAGCCGAAACTCTACAGATCGTTTGAAGATAGGCCCGTTTTGTAGGAAGGCAAGATCTTCGATGAATGATGGCATGCATCAGGAATGGAGCTCTTTCAATCAAGGTTCGTTGATTTGGCTTAAGTTCTGTTCTTTTGACCTTTGAAAGTCAAATGAGTTAATAAAATCATACCTGACAAAAAGTTCCAGAATTCCTATTTTGTACGTATTTGACCGGTAATCTGCTGACCGTAACCACAAAGGTTGTGGCTTAGTGGTTGAGGTCCTTGGGGATGTGGTGCAATATCCCATCTGCTCAAGGTTCGATTCCCGACATACACAACGATTGTGGTCACTGAGTTTATCAGGGTTGATTTCTTGCAATCACAATTTGCCGGGATTAGTCCAGGCATAGCCAAGAACACGCTTCCAAAAAAAATCTGCTGAACCGTACTTTTCCTTTTGAATGGAACCTTTTGTAATCTTGCGATCCTGCAGGATCCCACGAGCAGGATGATGTCAAACAGATGAGAGTGGTGGATCTTGATCTCAACAAAGATCAACCAAATGATTCTTCTTTTCACTCAAATGAACCCTTGGAACCCTATCCTTCATCTGATAGCTCATATGGCGAATCTTGCAATCAAATAAAAAAACCCATCAAAGTTTCCACTTCAATTCCCACATCGAAGCAACCAAAAAGTCAAACTAGTGCGATAGAGGTCCAAACTGAACCCTGCTGTATAGATCTCAAGTCTCTTCCTGAACCCTCATCGGATCTTTCTGAAGAAAAAGAGATGCATGAAGTAATAGAACAAAAGGATAAAGAAGATTCTGATTGCATCATACGAAATGCAGCGCTCTCACTTATCTCTATATCGCTGCAAGAAACTTCAACTAGGAATCAAGATTCCGAAACCAGATCAGGGTCAAATGAGATTGAAAACAATGATGAAAAAAAGAAGAAAACGATCCCAGAATCTTCTATTGATTCTTACGAGTCACTTGTGTTGAAGCTAGAAGAAAGCAGCATAGATGAAGATTCTGCAACATCAAAAGCGTTTGAAATAAACAAATTGGATCAGAAGGAAAATGGGATCAAGTTAAGAAGAGGAAGGAGACTGAAAGATTTCCAGAAAGACATACTTCCAACATTGTCCTCGCTCACCCGACATGAAATCTGGGAAGATATCAACATTTTGGAGGGTGTGATTAGGTCCAGAGAATACAAACGGCTGCAAAAAGCGAAAACCGGCAAAGGCGAAAACTGGTTTACACCTGTGAGAAACAAACGATCGAAGGTCAATTACGTTAGTGGAAGGTGTTGTTTGCGAAAAAAGAAACAGAAGCTTTCATATGCTGCTGAAAAGGTAGAGTTATTATGAAATAGAAGCAGATAAAGATCGACTCTTGGATTTCTAGTTTTTGTTTCTGATTATAGTTCTAGTTTCTAGTTTCTTGAAATTGAACTTCAACCATGGGCATCTCTTTTGATGCATTCTCTTTACTGTTTTTAGAAAAGATTTCTGGTAGGCAACATCATAATCACATAAATAGCTTCTTTGCAACATGTTGGGTTATTTACTCCTCACTAGGCCCAAAAAGGCCCTATTCGATCCTGGGCCATAATCCAGATTGGTTAGCACTTCTTAACAGGGTTTTGACAGGGCCGATCCTTAACCAGTTATGGCTCGAAAACAGTAGAGCCCATGTTCGGTCCTTTAAGGGCTGGTCCCAGTTTAAAAGTGGGCGGTGGTGGCCTGTGATGGTGGTTGGCATCAGTGGTGTCGCGGTGGAGGTAGAAGTAGTCGCCGGTGGCAAAAGGTGGAGGGGTAGGTGATTGTTGTGGGCCGTAGGAACCATTAAAATAAATACTATATTAAGTTTTTGTTAAACGAGGATGAATAATAATATTTTTTGTTTTATTTTATTCTTGTGACTTTTTGTTCCACCTCTTTTAGAGGAACATAAATAAAGTATATTTGTCTTGATGAATAATACGACTCACAAAGTAACCATCGATTTACAAGTATGTAATATTAATTGTATTTTTCTATTTTAAAAACATTTTAAATTTAGATAACTTAAAATAAGCATTGTCCTATTTTTATTTTTGTATGTGGGACATAAAATAAATGAGACTTCATAATAAAAATAGTAACATATTATGATGATTACCGAATAATAAATGAAATAAAAACTTATATCAATTTTAGATAAGTTAAAATACAAAATACTATATTTTATATTATTACAACTTATCTTACATAAATAAATAAAAAGGCGAACTCTTTAATTTTTATAAATCTTGATTTACGAATTACCACTTATTTTTATTATCATTTTAAATTGAATTTAAGATTATTAAATAAATAGTCTTTAATGGTAGGGTCCATCGTAATATAGTGTTGCTTTTATTATATTTTAATAGCTATTGTTTTGTTTTATTTATTCTAGAAAAATAATTTTTCATACAAGTCAAATTTAATATATATTTTAAAGAGTTGAATAAGATGGATATTCATTAAAAGTTTAAATTCTTTATATAATTTATCTTTTTTCAAATGTGTAATTTTTTGTATTTTGGAAAATTATTCAAAACTAAATTGAGGTAAGGAAAAAAAATACACAAGGGTTATGTTATATTATTTAGATTTCATACAAATAATATTTAACAATCTTTGATTGTGAAAAAAAAATAACATTTAAATATTTTAGTAGTTACATAAATATTAAATATAATTTTTTTATATAGAGATTTAAGCAAAAAAATGATATAATAAATCTAAAAAAAGATGGTCTAGAAAGCATTACGAATAGGATAAATTGTATGAAAAAGTAACGTACTTTAACTTGATATCTATTTTGGGTAATTACTTTCAAAACTTTTATCTTGGTACCTAAAATGTAAAGTTTTAAACATTTAAGTATTCAGTTGACCAGTTAAAGCATTAACCGGTTATCATGCTACTGTGACGAGTGATGTGATGAAATTGGTTAGAATAGCAAATAATATTAGTTGGATACCATATCAACATGGTAACTTGTTAATGCTTCAACCTGTTACACGACTACTTAAATGCTTAAAACTTTACATCTTAGGTACCAAAATAAAAGTTTTAAAAGTATGTTACCCAAAATAGGAATCAAGTTAAAATGCGTTATTTTTTAATACAATTTGCACTTATATTTCTATTTATATTCAAACATTATAAAATCTAATAGATCCAATTCATAATTAAATGTCAACTTCAACCAACCCACTTGTTGCTCATTTAAATATACATCACAATTAATTAGATATTATAATTTATGAATGATGCAATAATAAATGAGTAGACTACAAATTCATTTTTGTACTATTCATTGATTTGCAGATTTATTTTTGTTAACAATTACTTTTACATTTTTGCTTTAAAGAGTCATTTTTGTTCATACAATTGGCTTAATTCGTTCTATAAGGTTTTAGAGAACGTCTAAAATAATTAAAAATTCTAGTAATCTTGAAGGGACTTCAGATGTAATAATCCCGAATATCAAACCAGTTTCATCTGTTATTTGTTGCTCAATCTTCAAATAAAGTGGCTACACATATTATTTTGAACGGGTGTTGGATACAAATGAGGTAAGGGTAATTATGGGGTGTATTGAGTTGATTGATTCGATTTTTTGATGTTGATCCTATTTTAGTAAATAACCTTGTTTTATAATGGTGACAGAAACGACACATTCAAGGTCAAAGGTCACACCTTCACAACCACTCAATTTAGTAACACATTATCAATTAAATCTAATATAGCTAAACGTATTGTAATACCTGATCACTTATCAAGACACACACACCACTCTCTCTCTCTCTCTCTCTCTCTCTCTCACACACACACACACACACACATATATATATATATATATAACTATATCACTTATCAAGACACACACACACACACTCACACTCATGCACACACACACACACATATATGTGTATATATATATATATATATATATATGTATGTATATGTTGTGTATATAAAGAGATAAAGAGAGAGAAAAAAAGTCTCATTCATATGTTAATCAACAAAAGGGTGCAAACTTTGTTAACCAATCAAGATCATTGAAAATCTAAATTGATGGACGCGGTGATATTTTTGTAATTATATGAAAACTGAAGCATGTGTTCCAGATGAAATCATAAGTGAACGAAGGTGAACAAGGGCAAGAAGTTAAATTGTCATCAAGCAACAAATTAGGAAAAAATATGCATCCCCTGGAAATTATCCATCCATGATTGTGTTCCGATTTTATGGCCACCGCGTAACAATCAACAAGAGAGTGAAGATCATGGACAATTTGGGTAAAAATATGGATGAGAACATCCGGCGAAGAGGTAAATTAGAATTTTCTAGGGTTCATATTATGCAATTTACGTTCAAGGTTATAAACTAGGGTTTTGCCCCCATTGATGTTGATGTAGAATACAAACAACTTGAAGCAAGAAAGATGGAAAAAGCTAAGGAATTGAAAACGACAATGAATGGAAAAGAAAAAATCGACACAGACGGTAATCAACATTGATTTTCCTGTTAATCAATTTATGTATTTTGCTTATTGATTTCATATTTACTAGATGGTATGGAGTGGACAGTGAACATTGATCAAGGAGTGACCATTGTTGAAGAAGGCATTAGCATTGGTGAAACACTAATGAACATTATTGAAGAATAAGTGAACATTGGTGAAACTAGAGTGAATATTGGTGAAAAAAGTAACCCAAATACAGAGAGTAAGGTAGAACATAATATACAAAACCCCATTCATATAAACTGTTATGGTGGCGTTCATAAGTGCACATCGTACGTGACTAATGGTAAGAGAATGTGTTCTTTTGTGAACATTGTGTGCATGAGTGAACAGTAACATGCCACTAATTAGACAATACGATTCCACTAATAGATGTTCACTTATGAACAGATTGTGTATAAGTGAATAATAAGACTCTATCTTATAGATGTTCACTTATGAACCAATGTCAAATAGATGTGACAAGAGTTGAAGATATTACCATCTCCATTCTAAGACTCATAATAGATGTTCACTAATGAACCAATAAGATCCGACTAATAGATGTTCACCAATGAACCAATGTCAGATAGATGTTCACTAATGAATCCATTGTAAAACTCAAAAAATATGTCGTTCCAACCACAAAGATCGATATTGCCGGTTAATAATCAAACAAAAACTAACAATAAAAGAAATAATTAAAAATTAACTTTCATAATTATATCTCCTTCAAACAAGGAAATATTTAATAACCGCAACTTGTTACGATAAATGAATTTATAAAAGACAAAACTACCCTTCCATAAATAATGTAGCCCCAACTCAATTCAAACTACATGAATGATTGTGATTGGTCGAAATTAGTTAACAAAGTTAGCACATTTTTCTGGGTTAACAAATGATTAGCTCTTTCTCTATACACACACACATACACATATATATATATATATAGAGAGAGAGAGAGAGAGAGAGAGAGAGAGACTTGGGATCACATGACCAGTCTGTTTTCGTGAGATTCGTGAGACCACTTTTTTACACTTGAAACTTCACAACAAAATGCTGTAATGGTAATCTTCACAATGTTTTTGCTGTGAAGTTTTAAGTGTAAAAAAGTGGTTTCACGGGTCTCACGAAAACATGTTGGTCTCACGTGAACCCAACCCTATATATATACACATATATATGTATATAGAGGCTCATTCAAGGGAAAACTGATTAGTTTGTGGTAACCGTGAAATCCAATGTGAACCACTCATTTGAGATATTTAAAAATATTTCCTAAATAAGTTAAAATGGTATATAGTAACGCTATTTTTGACAACTACTCAAAATATTTAATTAATTTTTTTAGAATGAAATATTTAATTAAAATTAGTTATCTACTATATCAATTAATTAATACATCGTATTTTGAAGACGTTTGTGAATTAAAGTATATCATAGTAATAAAGTTCACAATGTTTCACGTGTATCACAATGTATTTTCTTTGTTTTATGAAAATTGAAATGTATCATAGTGCGCATTTTTGTTATTTTTAGGTATCACATTGTGCACCTTGTATGTATATCTGGGTATCACAGTGAATATCGTTTGTACGTATCACAATGTGTATATTGTGTTCACATAAGATTCATTGGAATATGGTTTGCCGAATAAAATTAAATTCGCCGGAGAAATGAAAGAGAATATATGAGAGAGGATATTTATAAAATCCCTAAAATACCCTTAATTAATATTTTAAGTTAAAATTACCAAAATTATTAATTTTCTAATTTAATATTTGATTTGTGGTTGAAATTGGATCTCACGGTTAACACAAACAAAATAGTTCTCATTTTATTAGGCTCTTATGTGTGTGTGTATATATATATATATATACACATATATTTTCTAGTTGAGAAGAAGCTCATAGAGGTCCACATGGGATGGTTATATTAGTCATTACTTTTTAAATTTTGACAAAATATCATTCTGACAAAAGCTGAAAACACTGTTCATGTGAAAATTC